CTCTCTCTCTCTCTCTCTCTCTCTCTCTCTCTCTCTCTCTCTCTGTGTGTGTGTGTGTGTGTGTGTGTGTGTGTGTGTGTGTGTGTTTCTCTCTGAGTTGCAGTTTAAATGACTGTCCTTTTCTCTACTGGTTTTTCCATCCCAGCACCCAACTCATTTGGGAAATTTCCTAAGAGATTTTAAGATGTGGTCAATGACCAGATTTTTTTCCCTAGGGAAATGTTTCTATATCACTACTAATAATTACACTTAAGTTATCATGTATTTGTGATCTTTTCTATCCCTCCAGGGATTCAGGTCTCAAAACACTGAGGAGTCAGTGGTTGTAACTCCTGTTGTCAAGAAGAGTAGCTGCGGCTTGAATTATGATCTTTTAATGTTGAGACTTGTGTGCTGGATCTTCACGCCCTTGGCTCTTTAGGCCTATGCCACCTCCTACATCACACTCTGGGAAGAAAGCCCAATCAGAAATCTTTCCCTGTCCTTGACGGACGCATGCTAGATAATTTCCTGAAGGATCATTAAGTAAAGAGGAAATTAATTTCTGAATATGAAATACAAGCTTCTACAAGCAGTCCTGCTGAAGCAGAATATATTTGTACAACAGCTGTTGTGTCTTATTGGCAGATTTTTAAAGTTTCTGTCTACTCCTTCTTTGAGAAACAAGGTGAATTGTAGTTTCACTTTATTTTCAACCAATGTTGATATTAATCAATATGAGAAATGGGATCAAACTTAATCAATTTTTATCTGAAAAGTAGCAATTCTGTTGCTATACCAAGACCCACAGGTAAAGGTTTTGAAAATCCTCAGCCTTGTTACCTTCTTCGAGTTAGTTTAAATTACGTGCACTTGAGAGCTGGAGAGATGGCCTAGTGGTTAAGAGCACTTGCTGCTCTTGCACGGGTCTCCAGCTCAGTTCCTAACAGCCACATGAGTTGGTGCACAGTTGTCTAACTCCAGCTCTAGTGGATCCAGTGCCTTCTGGCCTCATCATACACGTGCATGTACACACAAACTTTAGTAAAAAAATAAAGTAACTCTTTTACAAAGACATAACCAAGTGTGGTGGCACACCTTTAATCCCAGTACTCATAGGCAGACAGATCTCCGTGAGACTGAAGTCAGCCTGGTCTGTATAACATAGTGGATTCCAGGACAGCCTAGGCTACTTAGTAAGACTGTGTTCTCAATAAACAAACAGAGATGTAATGTTTTCTCCTTTCTTTATAGTAGAGCAGAGCATTGTGTGATGAATAAGGATGAATAATAACGGATTTCTGTCATTGTCTAAAACCAGATTGGTGCCTTGTTCTCTGCTGAATTTACGCATTGTAGCATCTATGTTTCCCAGCATTCACTCAGGCTGTTGTAGCTGGAGTTTTCTCTCCAGGTCCTGCCAAGCCCTGGCAGTCCCTTAGCCCACTTACAAAATAAACATACAGACGCTTATATTATTTAAACTGCTTGGCTATTAGCTCAGGCCTACCATTGTCTAGCTCTTACTCTTATATTTAGCCCATTTCTATTAATCTACACTTTGCCATGTGGCTCATGGCTTATTGGTACCTTACATCTTCCTTGTCCTGGTGGCAGCTCCAGGCAGTCTCCCTCCCTGCCTTCCTGTTCCCTCAATTCTCCTCTTTGTTAGTTCCGCCTATACTTCCTGTCTGGCTACTGGCCAATCAATGTTTATTTATACAGAGCAATATCCACAGCAGGCTGTATTCTCTCACACTCCACAACTGAATCTTTCCATGCTATATATGACGAATGAGCACAGGGCTGGAGAGAGGCTCAGTGCTTAAAAGTACTTGATGCTCTGCCTCCGAGGGCACCAGACATACATATGGTACCTACACATACATATAGCCAAATGCTCAAACAAATTGAGATATGTAAATAACTCTTTTGAAAAAGAATAAACAAATAATGTAAGACCCCCATGTAGCAAAGCTATAAAGAGGCAGATAAGGAAACTGGCCATCAGGAGGGTGATGATTTGGGCCCCATGTCCTGATGGCCACAGCCCAGCAACAACAGCTCTCGGCTTTAGTGGTTCCGCCATACAGAGAGATGGTTTGTGTCATTTATAAAAGTGAAGACCGTGAAAACACAAACATCAATTCTCTTTACGGTTTTGACCTTCAGAGCTCCGACCCAGTAGGCTTTTCTGCCTGGCTACACACTGATGGTCGTTTCTCCCACTGCCCCAGTGGTCAGCGTTTGTCTCCGAGGAGCAGCCGCCTTCTCCTCAAGTCTTCTGTCTGCATCGTCCCAGCCCGGACTGAAGTTTTCCTGCTTGTGTGCAGTTAGCACTCAGACAGAGTCACCTCCCCAGCCCCACCCCACGCTTGCCAATTTTTAACCTGTTCCCAACCTGTTCAAATTTTTTATTTTTTTATTTCTTGAGATTGTAATGTAATTACAACATTCTTTCCTTCTTTCCTCCAAACCCTCCCATCTACCCTGCCCCTCTTTCCTTCAAACCTGTGCCCTCCTTTTTCACTGTTGTTATTGCATGCATATGTGTATACATCCGCACGTATCTATCCCTAAAGAGAAACCAACCTCCTCTCACACTTCCGCCCTCCGGGAG